TTTTGGGAATTTATTTTAAGAAATTAAATGGTCTGCAAAAATATCAACATTTTCTTTTTGAAGCATCTAATCTTGGTACAGTGAAAATTCAAGAAGTTGTTAATGGACCTTTTGCTGAATTCAATTTATTGAAAACTAAGAAAGCAGATATTTTTGAAGAGATTAAATCTTTATCTATTTTAGTGTTAACACCACCTCCTTTGGATTATAAAAGGCAAGAATATCTTTATCATAATATTCATCCATTTGTTAGAGATGAATTTAAAGACATTACTTGCCCAAGACCAATCTATACTAGTAACAAATAAACATTCAGAAAACCTTGAAATTAAACGGTGTACATGCCTCATGGTATCAATTACCACTGCAGAACTTTTTGCTTTGACGGCTCATAAGTCCCAAAGCCTAACATTGCCACATGTGACTTTGACAGTAGATGAAAATATGCTTGCACCAGGTCAGATCTATATAGCAATGAGTAGGACTTCTTCTTGGGATTCGCCGTCATTATAATCTACGAGAGATCAAAAAACACAGATATTCTTTTGCAACACCTTCTATAACTGCTTTTTTTAGGCTCATCGTCTGAACCTGAAGGCTTGGTCATCAAACAATATTATAAACTCTTATAGGTTTATTGATTCAAAATATAAATGTAAATATATATTAAAACTCCAAGAAAACCAAGAGAAATAAAAAAGCTCAAACTACTAGGAAACCTGATACTGGAGGAACAACCAATGACGTGCTGGTAGATCTAGAAAAACATCGAACGCTGTTCAACCAACTTCAAATACAAAAATGTGGCCAAGCTAGCACAAGCAAAAATAGTTATAAATTCAATGAAATGATCTGCTTTAATCAATTGATTTATGTGTATCAATGTTATAAATAATTTTATTATCATAATCTATGATTGTCTGTAATCATTATAATGTATAAAAATACAAATTTCTTAATAAATTTAATTATAATAATAGTGGCTTTTTTTCAACTTGGAAATTATTATTATTATTTGAGGTAAAGAAAATCTATTCTAAGGAAAAAAAATTAAATTAATAATTATAATAATTATAACCTGGAATATCAATTTCTTCATTTCTATTTATTTCTAACATTCTACATAGACTTCTGGCTATATAATGCCATGTAAATGGTCCTAACGTTAAAGTTTTACCAATTTTCCATACAATTTCTTGTTTCCGTTTATATTCTGAATCAGGTATGTTAGTTATTATTTCATTAAGTCTATGCGCATCTTTTCTTCTTACACGTACAATAAATTCATCCCAATCCACATCATCTTCAAATGGCTCAATAATACCATCAGCGATCACAATAGGCACAACACCAAAAGCAAGGTATTCCCATATCCTTGTTGTATCTAACGTCCATCCTGATGGCGCCAAACCATATTTAGAACCTGCCAGTTGTTTTGCGTACTCATCGTTATTAACTCCTTCACCAATATCCCAACCCGATAAATTGTTTAATCCATTAAAGATCAAATGTCTCACACCTTCTGAATAATAATCATTTGGTTTAACATTTGAACAACATCCACGAAATATAACAAGTGTATTACGATTATTGGGATTACCGTCTTCATTAATAAAGTCCAACGGATTGATTTTAAAGGAATTTAATATAGCAGTTGCACTTGGTATAACAACATTCCTATTTCTTCTAAACTCTGACGACTTTACGCTTCTTTTATCACCAATTGTCGTTAAATAAATTGCCGACTGAAATAAATATTTTCTTTCGTAATAATCATCTTGATGATCCATTGGATGAATCAAAAAATGATTTCTACCACTACTCTTATTCCAAAATTTATAATCATTGATTATATGATTCATAAACGGTGAAACGTAATTATCATCAACATTACATCTTAGATTTTGATTCCAATGATTATTGGTCCAGCAATTAAAAAGATAACAACTTCCAAAAAATGGCATGTAGAACGCATCGGCTTCCGTTGCATTTTCTGTTACATAAAGTTTATAAATGTCTGATGATTTATTTGTAAGCTCGTTATATAAAATAATTTCCGAATTATAATTTGAAAATTTGCAATTTGATTGATTGGTTTCATTTATTTGTATATTTGATGGTATTTTATATACATAAATTTTAGGTCTACATATTGCATAACCTACAAAAAAAATCAAACTTTAATAAAATAAAATAATGTTGTCATTATTATTTATTATCTTACGTAGATCAGGAGGCCATACTCTCCATTTATCTTCAATTTGAGGTAAAGGCGATAGGTTAGTGGGGTGGTAAAACGATGGTAAGTTTGTTATTGGATAATAATAATTTAAAAATAATATAAAAATCAAGCTTGCAAACAAAAGTAAAAAAAAATAGTTTCTAATTATAAGTAAACCTGCCATCATGACTGACTGACTCTATTCTATCTTCTATTCTAAAAATCTGTGTAAAAAAACTTAATATTAATATTACACAAGCTCATTTTAGCGATTACCCATCTACTACACTCCCCTATCATAAATATCCGACCACCTGATGATCATTTTAATGTTACATCAAAATTTTTATTGACTGGTAAACATGTTTTTATAAAGTCTCGTCGAGTTTGCATTATTAATGAATTTAGGATAAAAATTTAAATTAGACAAAAAATTCCGTGATTTCTATGAAAACTTTGAGCTTAGTAAAAACCTTCAAAACTCTGTTGAATCATAGATTACGTCATTAAGTAAGTCCACTTAAAATATCTTGAATTATATATGGTTAAAATTTGAGAAAATTTGATCAAGCATAGACAACAAAACGTAAAGCCTTAAAATTTGCATTTTGTCAACTTTATAAGTGTTTTATATATATAATAAAATTATGGGGTGGTCGGATACTTTTTTAAACCCTTTTCACGAACTAATTTATGCCAACACCATATTGTGGATATTTGACCTTTATTATATGTAAAGATTCCGATTGAAAATTTGCTTTTTTGGACTATTTGCTAAATGTTTCCATTAATACCATACCAAACCTTTCGAAGCTTTTGTAATTTAGAGATTTTGATATCAAGTACAAGTCTACTTGGTAAAGTAAAAACGATTTTATTTAAGAAAACGTTACTTTTTTAGTAAGGATTCTTTTCATTGACGTTACACAACTTGGTCGGATACTTATGGTAGGTGAGTGTATATCCATCTCAAGATTTTCAGTAGATCTTGGCGTAATATGGGTAAAAATCGGCATGTTGGAAAGTAAGTTTTGGCCGAGATTAAAATCAACAAGCGCATTAAGATGGTTTTGGGTAACCCACAACAAAATTACAAGATTTGATTTCATTTTTTTTTTAAAAAAAATATGACAGGAGCATCAAAAGAAGTGACAGTACAACAGCAACTTACACCGCTCGGTAATGCAGTAGCTGGCTCTTTGGGAGCCTTATTAGCTCTGACTATAACATATCCTTTGGATATGTAAGTGTTTCATAGTTGTAGTAATTGTCAATTTTTTTTCGTATAACCGTATCTATATACGAATTATATTATTCTTAGTATAAAAACAAGACTCCAAGTACAATCAAAAAATATATCAAGGGCACTATCACATCATGAATATTACGATTCAACATTAGATGCAATAATAAAAATCACATCGAAAGAAGGAATATTTGGATTGTATGCAGGTTTGCCAGCCGGGTTGATTGGAGTAGCATCAACTAATTTTGCATATTTCTACTGGTATTCATTCCTACGTACAAAGTATCAAGTAGCCAAAGGCACCACATCATTATCAACAATGTCCGAGTTATTAGTGGGAGCATTAGCAGGAGCCTTGGCACAAATTTTCACAATACCAGTTTCGGTTATAACTACTAGACAACAAACCACCAATTCCAAAGAACGTAAAGATCTGATAGGAACAGCCAAAGAAATAATTGGCGAGGATGGTGTCAAGGGACTGTGGAAAGGATTGAAACCATCATTAATTTTGTGTGTTAACCCAGCGATAACTTATGGAGCTTTTGAAAGATTTAAAGATATATTGTCGAAACGATTGAATACTAGTACTTTATCACCTGGTATTGTTTTTTGGTTGGGGGCCCTTAGTAAGACTATTGCTACCATCGTAACCTATCCTTACATTATGGCAAAAGTAAGGCTACAATGGAGACCACCCAAGCAGCAGCAGCAGCAGCAACAACAACAACAACAACAACAACAATTAATGGTTGAAGATGATGATTATGATAAGATAGAAGTCGATGATGAAAGGAATTCATTATTTAATAATAATGGTGATGGTAATGGTAATGGTAATAATAGGCATAAAAGAATTGATTATAATATTGTGAAATATAATGGAGCAATTGATGTATTAAAAAAAGTATTAGAAACTGATGGCATCTTGGGTTGGTACAGGGTAAGAATAATTACATTAACTATTATATTATTATTATCATTATCAACGTAATTAATGATTTGTTTAATAAATTTTAGGGAATGCAAGCTCAAATTTCAAAAGCTGTTTTATCACAAGCTTTATTGTTTTATGTAAAAGAGTATACTACAAGATATACAATATTATTATTTGCGTTAATTTCCAGATTAATAGCAAAACGAAGAAGTATCAAAAATTAATTTTATATTTTTTTTAGATGATAATTTTTTTTGGAATTAATTTATCTATTACAAGTGTGAATAAAATTTTGCCTTGTAACTTTTTAATAATCGTGGGTACCTTTGTATTTTTTATCAAAATTGAATTTTATTTATGTTTCAGTACATGTTTGAAATTAATAGTTTACTTTAATTCATAAATTAAAATAATAAAATATATCTTTATTATTTTCTTATTAAAAATATGATATATATATATATATATATAAAATAACCAACTAATGAATGATATGAGTGTATGTGAGAGATAAGATTGGAAAAATAAAAATATTACACAATTACACACGTTATTATTAAGTAAATAAATAAAATTTTTAAGTATTCTTTCATTCGTTAACGATTATTCACCACCAATTCCAAAAACTAAATTTTGTTTAAATATGTATAAATTAATATTTATTAACACGAATAATAACAACAAATGGCTTTAATATTAATTACCTGTTCATAACTAATCATTATCCAACCGTCATTATCAGTATCGAAACGTCGAAAAGAGTCCGTAAGTGTCTTGATGGTAACGCAAGATTGCTACAACAACGACAACAACAATAATATAATTTTTAAAGTAAAATAAAAATAAAATAAAATTCATTATTTTAAATATATAGAATTAACCTACCACGAAATTGTCAAAAGTTACATCTCCCTTTCCTGTTGTGCCAGCTTTTAAATCAGTTAATAATCCATAATAATTTTTTTTATGCATGTTATATAGGGGGACACCTCATACACAAACACTTAATTTTTTTTGAAATTGCTATTTCTAACTTTTTTTTTCATTTGCGTATTTCATTTTTATTGCTCATTCTTTCAAGATAACTATCACTTTCCCACAATAAATCAATAAATAAAGATATATATATATATATAAAAGAAACATACCACGTTTGTCATATTTCTTTATCAAGAGGCTAATGAATTGATCACTCAAATTATATCCAAAGGTTTTCAAGGCAGTTTTCAATTCGGTAAAATTGATAGTACCGGAACCATCGGTATCAAATCTTTGAAAACATTTCTTCCAATCTTCAATATAACGCCAAAGACCAGCGAACTCGGGAAAATTAATCGTACCGGTATTATCTACAATATTACATATATAAATTGTAAAAACGTGGTATAATAAATAAAATGTAAATATATTCATTATAATTATAAAATGTAAAAATGCGCACATACCAGTATCAAACATATTCATCATTAGACGAACAGTCTCGATATTAAAAGGACTCCAATCACCTAATCATCATCACAACAATCATCATTATTATTTAAATAAATAATAAAAGTAATAGTAATAATAATTAGTTATATTTCAGATATTTATTTGTACCATTGATTAAAGCTTTCTGTAATTCTTCGGTGGTCAAAGAACCACTACCATCAGTATCAACTGCTTTAAACCAAAAAAAGAGTTGAGGATCTGCTCCTGGTGGAGGAACACTAGATTGACCTATATAGAAATCGAAATACCAAATTAGTGAAATAGTGAATTAATAATCAGTCAACCAATTAATCAAATGCTCACTTTGAGGTGGAGGATGATATTGTTGTTGTTGCCCCCCTCCATAAACTTGTTGTTGACCATAAGTGTTAGGTGGTGGAGATGAGTAACTTTGTTGACTATTTGGTGGAGGTCTTCCATACTGTCCTTGATTATACTGTGACATTGTTTAACCTGTCGTTTTATGTAATAGTTGTTGTTAAAAGAGCAATAAATACTAGTACCAGTCAGTCCTTACAAAAAATGAACTATAAACAAATGACTAACTAAATATTTATTTTCTTTTGTGACCCAAAAATTTTTTTCAGAGATGATCGACAAAATTTTAGTCAGTTACCAAAAATACATTTTAATGACTATTTATTTTACTATCAAGCTTCAAAAAAAACATTAATCTAACTTGTTAATATTTCACCTACAGTCGTACCTCTTTTATATCCCCACCATTTGTATCCCTTCTTAATCTCCTCGTTTATATCCCACATCTGAACAGTTAAAAATGTCTTTATTCTATACACTCAGTCATATCCCTACAAAATTTGAAAAACATATGAAAAAAAGGGAGAGGCACAAAGGTTTTCAAGGCAGTTTTCAATTCGGTAAAATTGATAGTACCGGAACCATCGGTATCAAATCTTTGAAAACATTTCTTCCAATCTTCAATATAACGCCAAAGACCAGCGAACTCGGGAAAATTAATCGTACCGGTATTATCTACAATATTACATATATAAATTGTAAAAACGTGGTATAATAAATAAAATGTAAATATATTCATTATAATTATAAAATGTAAAAATGCGCACATACCAGTATCAAACATATTCATCATTAGACGAACAGTCTCGATATTAAAAGGACTCCAATCACCTAATCATCATCACAACAATCATCATTATTATTTAAATAAATAATAAAAGTAATAGTAATAATAATTAGTTATATTTCAGATATTTATTTGTACCATTGATTAAAGCTTTCTGTAATTCTTCGGTGGTCAAAGAACCACTACCATCAGTATCAACTGCTTTAAACCAAAAAAAGAGTTGAGGATCTGCTCCTGGTGGAGGAACACTAGATTGACCTATATAGAAATCGAAATACCAAATTAGTGAAATAGTGAATTAATAATCAGTCAACCAATTAATCAAATGCTCACTTTGAGGTGGAGGATGATATTGTTGTTGTTGCCCCCCTCCATAAACTTGTTGTTGACCATAAGTGTTAGGTGGTGGAGATGAGTAACTTTGTTGACTATTTGGTGGAGGTCTTCCATACTGTCCTTGATTATACTGTGACATTGTTTAACCTGTCGTTTTATGTAATAGTTGTTGTTAAAAGAGCAATAAATACTAGTACCAGTCAGTCCTTACAAAAAATGAACTATAAACAAATGACTAACTAAATATTTATTTTCTTTTGTGACCCAAAAATTTTTTTCAGAGATGATCGACAAAATTTTAGTCAGTTACCAAAAATACATTTTAATGACTATTTATTTTACTATCAAGCTTCAAAAAAAACATTAATCTAACTTGTTAATATTTCACCTACAGTCGTACCTCTTTTATATCCCCACCATTTGTATCCCTTCTTAATCTCCTCGTTTATATCCCACATCTGAACAGTTAAAAATGTCTTTATTCTATACACTCAGTCATATCCCTACAAAATTTGAAAAACATATGAAAAAAAGGGAGAGGCATGACTGTAATATAAAAACATGAATACCATTCATTGAATATATTCGGAACATGCAAAAAAAAAAACGATTGATAGCATAAATTAACAGTATGGTTGAAAGTGACCACACCATTTATGGAAAAATCATACTCGAGTGGTGTTACAAGAAGATTTATTTTATCTAATTATACGTGATTAAATGAAAATTGCTTTGGCGAATATTAATTTTATTTCTCTCTCTGTTTCTCAGTTAAGGAGGACAAAGCCGAAATAAAATTTGTTTTGTATAATGAATTTTTTGATTAACTAGTTAATTTTCATAATGACACAAAAACAATAAAGTAATCAATATAATGAATAAATAAATATAGTTAATGTCTCAATTTTATTTTTCGTAAATTACTACGTACTATATGGGGCATGCTTAAGGTTGTGGGCGAAACCTCTTAATGACTGTCGAAACTCTGTCGAAACTCTAATGAACAATTAATGTGTAACCTG